TCCACACCATTCCCAAATCAATCATCCACACCCTCAACAGATACATGGCCAACTTTTTGTGGGGACAAAAGGAAGGATCCCATAAACACCACTGGGTTAGATGGGCACAAATAACAAAACCTGAGGTAGAGGGAGGGCTGGGGATCAAAAGCTTAAAGGACCTACAACAAGCATACACCCTTAAACTTTGGTGGAAGGCAAGAAATGACATTGGGATATGGGGGCCCTATGTGAGAGCCAGGTATATGAAAATAGGAATCATGAAGGAAAGGATCACTGACTCTCCAACATGGAAAAGGATTTGCAGATCTAATGATCTGGCAACATCCCATACCACCACTACTAGTTCAGGCTTGCTTTGGGAAGGAGGAAACTTCAGCCTCAAGAGTGCTTTCAACATGGTCCAGGAAAGTGGGACAAACATATTATCCTGTAAATACATTTGGCACAGCTCAAACATCCAAAAAATCAAGATCTTCTTGTGGAGACTCCTAAACAGTGCCCTTCCTTTCCCTAAAAACCTATGCCGTTTCATGGCAGCCCTTCCTAGTTTCTGTCTTCTTTGCCATAAAGATAACGATGACATTGATCACTCCATGCTCCACTGTCCAACTGCAAAAGAGGTATGGAACTTCATGGCTTCCATTTCCAACGGCCCAAGGGTTAAGGAGAACACCACATTACGTCAACATCTTCTTGCATAGTGGTTTGGTAGCAACACCAAACACTTCAGAGGTAACCTACGTCTCTTCTCCCCAGGCCTCTGCACTTGGTCCTTGTGGAAGGCACGTAACTCTTATATTCATAACGCAGTTAAACCAACAGTGGAGGGTATTATTAAAACATGCCTCAAAACTCTCCAAGCTTGGGCATGGATAAACAGGAACAAAAAATGGATGGCTCATGATGACGACTTCAAAGACATGGGATTAGATTCCTTTTGGCGAAATGGTCGTAGAATCTTATCTAAATCCTTTGTATAAGCTGGTTGTTTTCTTCTTGTTTTACCCTTCGGGGCCACTTGTATCCTCTTTCTCCTTTTCCTTTAATAAAATCCTTTAAATAATATATATATATATATATATATATATATATATATATATATATATATATATATATATATATATATATATATATATATAT